AGAGACCAGTGAACCATTAACTCTTCTCTGATGTAAGCCTTCCCACACTGGCACCTCCCTGGCCCCGCCCCCAGGCAGGTGGGCTAGGAGTGGGGGCTTGTCCATCCCAGCCCTCTATCTGACATGGCCTCCGATCTACCTGGGCAGCTGGAGGCTGAGCCTGGCTCCCCTCCACAACCCAGGAACCTCTAAGTGTCCACAGCGAGGCCTCATGGGGACCTGAGGTGACGGCTCTCACACTGCCAGTTGGGGGTGAGGCCCTGGGGATTGAGGGGGGATAGAGAGGTGGGGTGAGGTTGAGGGGTGGGGTCTGGGGGATAGGGGAGGGACAGGGACAGGTCAGCTCTGGATCAGGTGAGGGGAGTGTTCTGGTTCAGGGAAGGTGTTCTAGGAACTGGGAAGCAAGAGGCTGCTCAGAAGGAGGCAAGGGGGAGGAAGGAAGGAGGCTGCCGCTGCAGCGTTCGAGGAGGGGGCGGTGTGAGGAGTGCAGGCTCCCCGGGCCCTGGGCTGGACAGCAGGGCAGGAGCCCCAGCCCCTCCTCCTTGTTCTTCCAGGGCACGGTCCTCAGAATGTTCCTGGAGGAGTAGAAGCCGGAACCAGAGCCTCTAACCCTGTCCCCCTGATAATGGGGCCCCCAGTGAGTCATCTGCTGGCTGGCCTGTGTGTGTGGGTGGCCTTGGGCTGGGTAGGGGGCTCAGCCCCCTACCTGGGCCCTGCTGAGCAGGAGCAGAACCATTACCTGGCCCAGCTGTTTGGCCTGTATGGGGAGAATGGGACGCTGACTGCAGGGGGCCTAGCGAGGCTTCTCCACAGCCTGGGGCTAGGCCGAGTTCAGGCCCTCCACCTGGGACACCACGGGCCTCCAGCTGGTCAGGCTACACCCCCAGCTGGAGACAATTCCACGCACAGGTACTAACCCCTCTCCCCACCCCAAAATGTCACACCCCAGCTCTTCTCAGCACTTGGATCAGTCTCCTCCGGTTGCCTAGCTCTGGCTTCCTAAAATCAGATTCCTGGAATTACAGATTTTTCAGAACCTGATTCGTTACATCCTTTCACAGCCCCTTTCTGAGAGAACATGAGTAAGTCTGACTTTGTTATCCATCCACTCTAGGCCCCAGGACCCCGAGCTGAGTGTGGACATCTGGGCAGGGCTGCCCCTGCATCCCCCTGGGTGGGGTGACCTGGAGGAGACCGAGGCCCCAGCACCACCCCATGGGCCAGCCCCATCGGGCCTGGGCCTCTTTCACAGGCTTCTGCTGCTGGACCATTCACTGGCTGACCATCTGAATGAGGATGTGAGTCTGATGATCTGTAGTGAGGGAAAAGGAGCCATGGCATTTAGATGGCCTGAAATGTTTAAAAAGTCATTCATTTGGGGATTCCCTGGTGGCACAGTGGTTGAGAGTCCGCCTGCTGATGCAGGGGATGCGGGTTCGTGACCTGTTCCAGGAAGATCCCACATGCCGCGGAGCGGCTGGGCCCATGAGCCATGGCCGCTGGGCCTGCGCGTCCGGAGCCTGTGCTCCACAACGGGAGAGGCCACGACAGTGAGAGGCCCGCGTACCACACCAAAAAAAGTCATTTTAAATGGTTACTTAAAAAAAAATCCAGGTGTGATCTTAGGGTATGTTATTCCAGTAGTGAACTATGTCTCCTCTGGGCTCAGAGTAGATAAACCCACACCCCAAGCTCCAAGATAAACCCACACCCCAAGCTCCAAGACCTGGTTCAGGGGCCACACTTGGCAAAGGAGAGAATTCAGAGAAGCAGCCCAGGGTAGCCTCTGGGGCTGGTTATCTGGAGAACGCGGCCTGCAGGCGGCAGATGGCTGTCTTCATCCAGAAAGTCGGTGAACTTGTTCCATGTACACCAGAGGGCAGCCAAAGCCAACCTGAAACAGGCCTGGTGAGGTGAGCACCCCATCCCAGGAAGCATTCCAGCCAAGGCTGGTTGAACGAGTGACAGGGCTGCTGAGAGGAGGGCAGCATGGCATTTTAGGTTCTTTTCCTTCTAAGATTCTGCAATGGAGGACTCTAGTTGTCCAACCAATTCCATCACCAAATTCATGAGACATCAGGGGCTTGGGAGGGAGGGAGATGATGGCGCTGTTCACTAGCACCCAATCTGTACCGAACTGAATGTTTGCATTGGTTTGAATATTCACTAATAATTAACACACACTGATTATACCTAACTGTTCCGAGTCCCTGATGCACCTGCCAGTGTGAGCAAAGGGGACCCTGGGAGAGACCCAGGAGCCCATGCAATGGAAGGGCAGACATTAAAGATCTGAGTCACAGTTCTCAGCAATTCCCCAATGTGTGACCTCCAACTCCACTTCCCCAGTGTCTGAATGGCTCCCAGCTGCTGGTCAATTTTGGCTTGAGCCCTGCTGCTCCTCTGACCCCTCGTCAGTTTGCTCTGCTGTGTCCAGCCCTGCTTTATCAGATTGACAGCCGTGTCTGCATCCGGGCCCCAGCTCCAACACCCCCAGGGGATCTGCTATCTGGTCAGTAGGGGAGAGCAAGTGGTGGGGCACCTGAATCCTGTAGGGAGTGGGGCTCAAGCCAAGGAAGGGGGTTCGTTGGGGTCCCGCCTCCCCTTGCAGCATTCCCTTTAAGGCCTCCCTTTCAGCCGTGCCTAACTTCAGCCCCTGATTCTCCCCAGCCCTGGTTCATAGTGCCCTGGCGGTCCTGCTGCTCAGCCTGCCTGCTCCCCTCTCCTTGCTGCTGCTGCGGCTCCTGGGACCTCATCTGTTGCAGCCCCTGCTGGGCTTCCTGGGGGCCCTGGCCGTGGGCACTCTTTGTGGGGACGCCCTGCTACACCTGCTGCCACATGTACGTGAAGCCCCTTTCCTGTCCCCCTGCCCTAGGGGTGGACAGCCTCCATGGAGCCAGTGTGTTCCCAGTCATAGGACATCCTCTCTCCCACCCCAGCTTCAGCCCACAGCTGCCTTCTAGTAGAGCGTATGAGTGAAGGCTCACCACCTCTCTCCACCATCTCAGGAGGGGGATGCTGTCGGGTGCAGGTGCTTCCAGAGTCTGCCCTGACCGCCTCTCTGTCAGGCGCAAGGAGGGCAGCATGCTGGACCTGGCGGGCAGCCAGAGGAGGACCTGGGACCAGGACTGTCGGTGCTTGGTGGTCTCTTTCTTCTCTTCGTCCTGGAGAACATGCTAGGGCTTTTGCGGCGACGAGGGCTCAAGCCAGTGAGTGACACCCTTTTGTCTTCTTCCTGCCGAGACCAGAGTCCTAGCCAAGAACTGGCCACTCAAGCCAGGAGGTGAGGGGCCAAGTGCGCTCCTGGCTCTGACGTTTGCCTGACTGTGCAGGACCTGACAGCTAACAGGGAGTGGGTTGGGGCTTCTCAGCATAGACCAGGACTTCCGGCCAAACGGCCTCCTCTCCTGAGTTCAAGTCAACAAGAAACAGAGAGGTGCCAGCCTGGGAAGAGAGCAGAGGCCAGAGAACATCCCCAAGTGGCAGAGGTGGGACCAGGTGTTCACCTTCCCTGCTGGCAGCCTGACCGCTCCTTAGCCCCCAGCTCTGCTGCCTCCTCCCTCAGGAGGGACACCCTCCCATTTCAGAGGTGCTGCCAGCGAAAAAGAAAGGATCTCAGAACTCCAAACCTGGACCCAGAGGATGGCAGTGGGATGGTGCTTCGGCCCCTGCAGGCAGTTCCAGGTGACCGGCGGAGGACATGAAGAGCGGGCCCTGGCTCCCAGCTCTCACTCGCAGCCACCAACACGGCTCTTTTCCTCCTTCCCACAGAGCCAGGGGCTCAGGGCCAGAGGGAGCAGGACAGCCAGCCCCCAGCAGTCCTGGCCCCTCCTGGGCGCCAAGGCCACAGTCATGGATGTCAGGGTAGCGGTGGCACCAATATCACGTGGATGGTCCTCCTGGGGGATGGTCTGCACAACTTCACTGATGGGCTGGCCATAGGTGTGAGGCGGGGGAGGGAGGGAGGGGAAGGACGGGGGAGGGAGGGAGAGGGTAGGCCTCCTAGTTATTGGATGGGGCAGGGAGAGAGCTACCATGTGGGGGGCAGGCGGGGAATGGGAGGACCACAGAGGGAATGCAGGCCCCAGCCTCCTCCGGGGAGAGCTTCCTTCCAGACTGACCACCTCCCATCCTGCCCACCCAGGCGCTGCCTTCTCTGATGGCTTCTCCAGTGGCCTCAGCACCACCGTAGCAGTCTTCTGCCACGAGCTGCCCCATGAACTGGGTAGGAATGGCAGGAGCGGGGTGGGGTCGACTCCAGAAAGGAGAGACTTCCAAGGGGTGGAACTTGGAGGCTGGCGGTGACGTGGGTGAGGGGCAGCCCTGGCGTACTCCCTCCTACCCCGTCCTCTCTCCCCACAGGTGACTTCGCGATGCTGCTCCAGGCAGGGCTGCCCTTCCGGCGGCTGCTGTTGCTGAGCCTGGTGTCCGGAGTCCTGGGACTGGGGGGTGCAGCCCTGGGGGTGGGGCTCAGTTTGGGCCCCGTCCCCCTCACGCCCTGGGTGTTTGGGGTCACTGCCGGGGTCTTCCTCTACGTGGCCCTTGTGGACATGGTGAGGTGTGGGGTAGTGCGGAGAAACCAAGGGAAGCGGGGTGGGTGTAGAGGAGAGGGAAGTGTCAGTCCCACTGCTTCCCCCTTGGCCCCCCAGAAGGGTGGCTGGACTACATGAGAAACAGGGGTGTGGAAGAGCTTGGGTGGGGGAGAGCTGCTGACATCTCCCTCTCCTGTTTTAGGAGCAGAGACAAGGCCAGGATCCTGATGTTGTTATTTTCTTTCAGCTACCAGCCCTGCTTCGTCCACCTGGGCCCCTCCCTACGCTCCATGTGCTACTGCAGGGGCTGGGGCTGCTGCTGGGGGGTGGCCTCATGCTCACCATAGCCCTGCTGGAGGAGCAGCTGTGGCCTCTGGTCTCTGATGGCTGATGGGGGCCAGTGGAAAGGCGTCCAGGTTGCCCTTCCTTCCCCCCAACCACAGGAATGGAGGCGGGACACAGGGCCAGTAGGAGCAACAGGATTTTAATAAACAGAACCCATCCCAAAGCCATGACTACGACAGTTGTACTTGCACCAAAACAGCATAGAAAACCAGGATGTGGCAGGAGGAGGGCTCAAAGCAGGTATGGGGAGGAGGGGCCTGGAGGGTGCAGGATGCATCCATCTGCGGGGAGAGCATTGTGCTTTAGCCCAGAGAGGAAGGGGAGGGGTGAGGCAAATGCACCAAGGTCCCCACTTTTTCCTGCTGCCCTCAGCACCCTGGGGATACAGGCATCTGGGCAGGTCTGCCCTTTATTGCTGCCCACCAGCATGAAACACACCCCGACCCCAACGCTAGCACCACAGGTGAGTCCAGGGCAGGGAGAAGGGCAGGAAGGGGAACATTGCTTAGAGAAAGATTCAACTAGAATCCAGTGAATTGTGCTCAGTTCTCTTTACTTCCTACAACCGAGTACATGGGTCACAGGATGGAGGGAGCAACAGGACAGGGGACATGCCCCTCAGTGCCCCCAACGCACCCTTGCACACAGGAATGGTGGTGTCTGCAGCATCACAGGTCATGCAGGGCACGGGGAAGGGGAGGTTCACACACACGTAGACGCCCACAGCGGGTATCAGACAGAGAACACCCCTGAATATACACAGCTGTACACAGGGAACCCCCAGGTCCCCAACCCAACCCTCTCCCCTGTCTTGCCGTCCCCCAGGCAGGAGGAACTGTATTGCTTTGAGAGAGCCACCCTGGGGGTTGCTCTGCCAGGCACCCTCCCCTCCCACCCACCCCCGTTTTGGCACATCTGCAAGACACACGGCAGCGAGAGTAGGCACCCTCCCTCCCAGGCTTCTGTGGCTTGGAGTGGAGGAAGGGGGTAGGAGACTTTCATCCGCCATCTTTCCCCCAGCCCTTCCCAAACCCCTACCAAACCCACTCCAGCCAGAACCCACCCCCACCCCCCAAACACACACACACAAAGCTGAGCTATCCAGGAATACAGGGGAACAAGGAGATTGTCCGGGATGGGAGCAGAGGCAGTGGGGAGAAAGGACTGGAAGCAGAGACCCCACCCTGGCGTGGGGTAAGACTGGCACACAGCTACTTTAGTGCAATTGGAGAGGGTGCCCAGAGTGAGGGATGGAGGCAGGAGGGCCAGGCTAGGCTCCCCAGGGAAAGGGCCTAGCAGGAGTGAGCGAGGGCCAAAGGTGGACCCTCTCGTCACCGCCACCCTCTGCCCTCCCAAACGCAGTGACAGTGTCCCCCTCACACCTAAGTGGGCAACAGCAGCCTCGGAGTCAGTACCTTCAAGTAATTCATGGAGCAGACCCTCCCCACCCCAGCTTCCTCCCATCTCTGGGATTTGGTCGCTTCTCTAGGGGTTGGGTCGGGAGGAGGGGGTCCCCAAGTCAGACCCTTCCCTCTCTACCTCCCTCTTCCCAGACCACTGGGCTTGGTCCTCAAAGATTCCGCACCTCGGCCCAATCTGGGTCAAGGCCGAGGAGGGCTGGAGCCGCCACGGTCAGAGGGGAAGGGGCTGCTTTGCTCCTCATCCCTCCCTCTTAAAAGGTGGGGTTCAGACTAGGTGGGCTGGGGCCCCATACTGGAGTGCCCCAGGAGGAGGGGTTCTGGGCTAGGGTCTGTAAGGCTATTTTCCTTTGCGGCAGGAAGGGGAGGTGGGGGATGAACGCTTGGTGTGGGGAGAGGTGAGAAATGGCGGAGGGAAGGAGGAAGGGGCCTCCCCCTGGGGCAGTCAGGGCGTCACTCGGACGAAGTCACACTCACGTGCACAAGGTCCCGAGCACGCCTGCTCCCAGCCCCTCCTGCCTGGCCCCCACGCCCCCTCCCAGGACGCCCTCCAAGACCCCAGAGGAGGTTTTGGGGGCACACAGCTGCAGAACCGTTCGCTCTGGCCCCACGACCCCCGGCCCAGCCCCGCCTCCTCTCCCCTTCTAGGTCCAGGGAGTCGGAAGGTGCTCGGGTGGGCAGACAGGTGGAAACAGTATTGAGTTTTCCTTTGGTTACATATTGAAGGCAAAGGTGAGCTGGACTTACAGTCAAAACAGATAGGGATGAGGAAGGAAGAGGGGCCACGGCTGGGAATGGAGAGGGAGGTAGGCCCTCCTCAGCCCCTCCACCCCAAGGAACACATGTCTAGGTGGGTGGCAGTCCCTCAGTCTCACCTCTCCCACCCCCACAGCACCAAACAAAAGGAGAAGCCCCCTCCCCCAGGGGCTGCTCCCTACCCCAACCTGGGCTGTACATTCAGTGGTTCTCAGCAGTCCTATGGCTCAGGGGGCCGCGGGGTGGGGAGGTGGCCCGTCAGTCTCCGCTGGACAGTGGCAGTGACCCGGGCCTGTTGGTCCGTGCTGGGACCCACAGTTTGTGCCATTTGTCTTTCTGAAGGATAGTACACAACCCTACCAAAGCCACCGGCCAACCAGAAACATCTCCCCCAAAATCAGAAACTAAAAACTGGCTCTTTTTCATCTCACCCTCTGATTCACACATCTGTTTCCCTGTCTCCTATGTAGCCCTCGCTCTGTCTCCTTTGCTGGGACCTGGGGCTGCTCCCAGGGTCCTCACTTAAAATAGGCCTTTTCTCAAAAGTGCTTATTACTTGAAGCAAGTGCTTTAGAGCTGCAGTGGGGAGAGGGGGAGGGGGAGAGGGAGGGCGAAGGGAAGGAGATGATTCCTCCCCACCCTACCCCCTTAAGATTGGGGGGCATTCTGCCTGCTTTACTTCTCCACACCCGTTTAAGTCAAAGAGGTCTTTTTAAAAACAACAACAACAACAACTTAACATTAAAATAAATATGCAGTGGCCATGAGAATGGTCAAAATGCTTCAAAAAAAAACACTAGGGGCTGGGGAGCCCAGGGTGGGGTGTGGGATTTCCTTTGGCATAAGGAGAGGAGGCTGCTCGTCCTGCTGGCCTCCTCACAGCCACATGAGGAGGGACAGAGGACTCCCCGCGACCTGCCCCAGCACTGCTGACGGTGTGCTGAAGGCGCAGCAGGGAATGGGCAGCCACCAGAAATCTCATCTAGCAAAACGATGGGGCTCCTGACAAATAACTCAGATTCTTCCTGTCATCACCGAACATTGATAAAGGAGAACACGACTGAAACCCCAGGAGTTTTCTCTGGAGGACACGTCTCTCTGCTCCCCCTGCCCCCCGCCACCTAATTCCCAGCACCAAAATGAGAGGGAGGGGGTGGAACAGGAAGATTTTATGAGAGAGAACTGAAGTTAAGGGCAAGCTTTGCAGAACCAGCAGGACTGGAGGTGGGGGGCTGCAGCCCTTAAGAGAGGTCACATTGATTGTCGTACAGGGGAGGGCAGGGTGCGAAGGGAGGTGGGCGAGAGGGGCGTTGCAAGGCCCTTTGGCTTTGAAAACAAAAATAAAAACTAAAAGCTGCACAATCCTTCTCATCAATAATGGTCATCTGGAAGCTTTGAAATGGTTTAGGAACTGAACGTTGGGAGGAGCAAGACACAGAGAGAGAGGGGATAAAAAAGGGACCATGACAAAAAGAATGAGGACTTGGACAAACACCCCAGGCTTCATGAAACCAGCATGAGGTATGGTTAAGGGTATCTGTTAGGGAGGGAGGAGTCCCTGGGATGCCCCTCTCCCCTCAGCCCACCCTTGGCAAGGGTGGCAAGACGTGCAGCGGACACAACTGAAAAGGGGGTAAGATCATGAATAAAGCAAGCACGGGTGGGGGAAGGAGACCGAGGGACCCCCAAGGGGGAGGCCCTGTACTGTGTAAACGAAGCCTGTCCAGTTCTCAGGGGACAATACTGATGGCAGCCAAACTGGGCGAGGATGCAGGGGGGGGGGGGGGGGTAGAGGGAGCATGACCTCTATTCAAGTTCTGTGTCTTGGCCCCTGGCTGAGGTATTGAGTGTGAGGAAGGGAACACTGGGCTGAGGGAGCGGGTCCAACTGTCCAGGAGGCTTAGCTAGGAGATGGATGGACAGGGCGTCTGAAGGAACCAGGGCCAAATTCAATGCTACATATAGAGAGAAAACTGCCCCCTCCTCACTCCAGCCCAGTTTGGCTTTTGGGGTACGACTTCCGGGAATCTTCTCAGTGCAGCCCTTAGCTCAATCCCTTCTCTCCCCGCTGCTGGGAAGGCAGGAACCAAGCCTCAGTATCTACTTGTCGCTCCCTAGATCAGAACTTCATCCTCACACCGGAGGGGAAGCCTGGGTCCCCGAGTAGCCACGGTCCCTAGTCGCCCTGCCCCTCCCTCTTTGGCTTCAGATCAGGAGTGACTGGGGGCAGTGGGTACTCTTGGACATAACAGAAGGTGGCAGCAGACGGGGGGCACAGAGGAACTGTGGGATTGGGGGGCACAGGAGGAAGAACACAGTCCCTCCCTCCACACACATGCAAACACATGCCTGAAACACAGAAGACATACTAGGGCTGTGGTTTTGAAATGGGCAGGAAATTAATTTGTTTCTTCCCCTAAAGGATAAAATGCTTACTTAAAAATTCATGACAAGCCTCAAAGTTAAGGGAGAGGAGAGCCAGAGAGGGAATGGCCACAGGCTCTGCCCTCCGGAAAGAAGTTAAAAGAAAGAAGCAAGGTTAAAGTGCGTGGTCAGGGGGCCAGGCCAGGAGGAGGAGGGAAGCAGGGCGGGGCAGGCTGTGGGGGCAGGACCAGCCCTTGATTTGCATATGAGGAGCCAGGGAGCGTGCAGGACTGGGGCCCAGGTACAGTAGTTGCTGCTTCAAGTGTTTTGCATTTGAACTTTGGGGGTGATGGGATACAGAAGTGGGGGAAAAGCTCCAGGCCCCAGTGCTAAATACCCTCCCCCCTCGTCCGCTAGCTGCCCCTGAAGGGGGAGGGGGACACCCCCAGAGTGCTCACACAGTACCAGAAATTAAGGCTTCTCACTGCTGCGGGGATGGAGGGGGGATGGAGGGGCCGGCCAAGCAGGGAGGCAGTGATGGGTATGGAAGAAGAGGTGGGGATCTGCCTGGCAGGAGCATGGAGAAGGGGACAGAGAGGAGAGTCAACGGGAAGAGTGGGGGCAGCTGGCAGCAGAAAGGGAGACCGGAGAGAGGGGATAAAAGAGAGGGGGAGCCAGGCATCGAGCGATCATTTTGGGACACTTGGCAGAAGGGGTTGCCCTGGGGGTACCAAGGGCCTGGGGTGCTCCCTGTTGGTCCCAGACCCCTGCCAGGCCAGGATAGTGTGGCAAAGGGGTGAGCAGCTGCTCCCCAGTGCTTTTTCCCCCCTCCGCCCCCCAACCCAGTCGTGTTCTCCTTTAAAGTGCCCTAAATGTATAGACTTTTTCTAAATAAATAGAATAAGATATCAAGCCACCGGCAGGGGGAGGGACACGGGAGGGGGCTACTCGGAGTAGCAGCCATCTAACCCAATGGCGCCATGCCGCTCCTGGCTGTAGGGGCAGGAGGCCCCGTGGGGCAGGGCACCGCAGCCACCCACCGTCTTGGCTGCTGCGATGCCACAGTTCTTGAGCAGGCTGAAGCTGAAAGGACTGACGGCGTCCTTGGGTGGGAAAGGCTTCATGGTGGAAAGGATCAAGGCCAGGCAGTCTGCCACATCTTTGTTGGGGGCGCAGGCCAATGCCGGGGTGTGACCTGCAGAGCAAAGGGGAGAACTGAGCCCCAGGGTCCTGTACCCCTGGCTCCCCATCCACCCGCCCCTGGGCCCTGAGCTCTCTTATCTGTGGAGGGGAGCCAAGGCAGGCAAGCACCCAGCATGGTCAGAACTCAAGGGCTATAAGGGCCCAGGGAGGCTGACAGGCAGACTGTCCCAGCGTGGGGTAAAGAACAGAGCCAGCCTGGGGGACAGGAGGCTGGGAGGCTGAGGTGTGCAGGAGGTCTTCCTGAGGAACCTGCTGGCTCCACCTAGTGCCGTCAGACTCCCCTCAGAGACTCTAGCGTATCGGTGTTGGGTCCCTGCTCTGAAGAGTTCCCTTGGGAAGAAAATCCAGTTTATTAACCAGCAAGCTTAAGAAGTCACCTCCTGAAGAATGAATGTCCCTGACCCCAAAGCCCGGAGGGGCAGGGAGCTCCAGACCCCACCCACCTTCTTCATCCACAGCCAGCACTGTGGCCCCACGACTCAGCAGGGCCTGCACCACAGAAGCTAGACCATTCCGGGCGGCAATGTGTAGGGGCCTTGGAAGAAAGGAAGAAGGAGCATGAAGTCGGGGCAATGGCAAGCTGCCCTTCCACCCTCAGCCAGAGTCGCAACGCTGCTGAGCGAACACTGTGAGTTCCAGAGGGCCCCTGGAACATGGGCTGCAACTTCCTCACCCACCTCTCCTGCCCCCCGCCCCCTAGCCAAGAGCCCCCTCCCCAGGGCACTCACATCTGCAGCGCACTGTTGGTAGCATTGATAAGGCCAAGGTCTTGGGTTTCTGCCAGGATCATGAGGGCACATTTCTCGTGGCCCTGAGGGAGAGGGACAGAGAGCGAAGACTTGTGAAGTGGAAGGATGACAATAGGAGCTGAGGGGGCAGCAAGAGGACAGAAAGCTATCCCACCAGTCAGACAGTCTGGACAATCCTGACTTCCGCCGGGCCCTCTCTCCAGTCACCAGGCCCAGCCCCTTACACAGCCCCACCTGCACTGCCGGTGGTACCTTGCTACAGGCCAAGTGGAGGGCAGTGTTCTTGTTCTCATCCAGCACAGTAAGGTCTGCCTTCCCTCGATACAGCAGAAATTCTACAAGAGAAAGGAGGCAGAGGGGGCTGACGCTCCCTTCCAGAGCCGTGCCGGCCTGGCTCTGCACCCTCCTGTCTGCATACCCTTTGCACCCCATCTGCAGAGGGTGAAACATCCAAAGACATGCCTCCTGCCTCCTAAACCCCACAGGCAGGGCTGACCCGTCTGGCGAAAACCCAGGGGCGCACCTCCCTTCCACACGCGGCCCCTACACACCCACAGCAGCGGTCTGCCCATTCTCAGCCGCCGTCATGAGCGCGGTGCGGCCAGTGTGGTCAGTGGCGTTCACCTCGGCTTGATGCTGCAGCAGCATCCGGAGCCCAGAGACGTTGTCCGCGAAGGCAGCTGCGTGAAGAGGGGTCCTGTGGGGAGGGGGTCAGGGCAGAGTGAAACAGGGAAGGCCCTCTCTCCTGAGCAGCAAGAGGAAGCCAGAGGCAACGGAGGTTTCTCCCCAAGCCTCCCACCACTCACCGTCCTTTGGCATCTCGGCTGTTCACAATCTTGGCACCCAGAGCTCCCAGCAGCATCTCTGTGGTGCTGTCCTGGTTATTAATTCTGGGGGAAGAGGAAGGGTCAGCAAGAGGGGCAGGGGAAATGGACCGCCTGTCCTAAGCCCAGGTCACAGACCCCTGAGTGGGGCTGCGGTATAGGAAGGGACTTACACTGCACAGTGCAAAGGAGTGAAGGGGTTTCCTTCCAGGTATGAAAATGGGCTGTGTTCAAGTAACAACTCCAGACAATCTTCATGTCCTGGGTATGAGGAAGGAAGAGTGGTGATGGAGAGAAATGACAACGAGGTCCCCTCCATCTGTCCTGTGCCATCTCTCAACACTCCATTCTACCTCCAGATCCAGAGCAACCCAGGTCCCTCCCTCAACCCACTAGTCCCTGTCTGCCCTCCCCTACACCCCACACACACAGCTGTGCCTACAAAGGCCCCAGAGCCACACCAGTGTAGGAGGCCCAGTGCATGGGCGAGTATCCGCTGTAATCCACCCCGGTATCCAGGGGGTCTGTGGAAAGGGCAGCCTGCAGCAGGGTCCGCAGTACTGCAGTGTGGCCACAGGCTGAGGCCAGATGAATGGGCGTGCGGCCCTTGAAGTCTCGGCACAGCACGAATGCATCGTGGTCCAGCAGGGCGGCCAGGCAGTCCTCACAGCCAGTCACTGCCTGTGGGGGACATGGGGGTGTGGCTGGAACTCCCTTTCCAACGGCCAGTCACTGGGGCTGGCCCAGGAGCAGGAACCAACTCCAGGGCTCCAATCCTCGTCTTTACAGCAATGATTCTAAGTGTTAGGGATGAGCATCTCCTTCCCTGACTCTATGCCAACTGACAATCAGGGTGGTGAGAGTTAATCCTGGCCTTCTGTAGTGGGAGACTGAGTCAGAGAATCCCGTGGGATGAGGAGGAGGCAGCTTTAGGACAGGCGATGGTGGAGAAGGACCAGGCCGTGGCATCATTATCCAACAGGACAGGGCCAGCTGGGTACCCTGGGGCAGAGTCTGGGTGGTGAGCAGGTGGCTGTATGTGATTACAGAGCAAGGTAATCAGGGAGATCAGCTGCCGATGTCAGCTACTCATCCTGGAGCAAATACAGTAAGGCCCACTGAGAGCCCGGGCACAAGATCCTGGCCCACGTGCTAGACAATCTAATGTCCTACTGTCATGCTCCCGCGTCCAGGCCCTTCTGTGAGTGACCCTACCCGGGAGCTCACTCACCCCACGGTGGAGGGCAGTGCGGCCCCGGAGGTCAGCAGCATCAGCTGTGGATCCTTTCTCTAGCAGCAGATGTACACAGTCCACGTGGCCATTCATGATGGCCAGCATCAGTGGGGTTCTACAGAGGGGGCAAGAAAAGGGTGAGGGCCTGGCAGGGATGGGAACCCTGCACCCCACCCCTGGCCGACACTCACTGTCCATAGGCATCCATGACATCTGTGATGTCAGCTCTTTCCCCACTGTCGATCAGCAAGTGCAGGGAATCAGTGTGGCCAGAGGCAGCTAGGAGAAGAGGGGGTCTGTGTCAGGGCATGGTCGAGGCAAGAAGGCCAGGTGAAGGGTGGAGGTTATGGGAAGACCTGGGGCAGGGAGAAATCTTGGGGGATAGGAGGCTACAAATCAGAACTTGCAGTTTCCATCTTCCTCGCCCTACTCCATCCCAACCCCAGTCCCCTCAGGGTTCAGGAGGGATCTGGGGACCAGTCTTGGAGGAGGCCTGGCGTGACGAGGGGAGGGAGCAGCCCAAAGGGCGCACTCACCAGCAGCATGCAGGGGTGTCCACTTGCGCTTGCGCTCCTTGATGAGGGCAGAGGCGCCATGGGCCGTTAGCACCTCCACACACTCAGTGGAGCCTCGCTCAGTGGCCAGGAAGAGCGCGGTCCGGCCCTTGTGGTCCCTTACATCCAGATTCACCAGCGTCTCGGCCAGTGTCTTCAGGGCTTCACAGTGACCGTTGTAGGCCTGGAGGGGTGCAGGCAACCAATGGATACAGCTCGGGACACTGTCCCCACTCTGCTCTTGGGGCCCACAGGGAGACTCCAGGCAACAGGCCTCCCCGTGAGCTCCCTGGGCCCCTCTCCAGACCACTGCCTGCTTGCGACATCCCCACAAGAAGGCAGAAGCAAGGACAGATTCACACGTGCTTATACCTGTGTGCCAGCCTGGGGCAGGTAGGGACAAGGAAGGCAAGAGGAAAAGACCTGGGACTCACAGCTAAGTGCAAAGGGCTGACTGGAATGGTGCTCTCTACATCCTCCAGGCAGTTAAAGGACATTTCTAAGAGCTGCAATGGACAGAATAGTAGGTGCTGAGGTTCTGGTATTCCCAAGATATTACCCCTTGACCCCACCCACAGCAATCCCCAAAGCCCCTGGATCTAGAGACCACATTTGATTCAACCACCCCTTGGTTTGAGAATCCACAGATACCAAAGTAGACGGTGTGCTGTGCCCTGCCCTGCTCCTCTCCCCCAGGCCAGGTCCCACACGTACCAGTTCGAGGTTCTGTCTATTGCCATAGGCGGCTGCATAGTGCACGGCTGTGTAGCCCTGCCTGTCCCGCAGGGAGGGGTCTGCACCGTTATCCAGTAAGAATTCCAAACAGCTGGGGGACAGGAGTAGACTGTGAGGAGGGGACAGGCCCAGCCAGGGAGGGCACAGTTTGAGAGGAGCAGAGGAGAGGGCAAGGGAGCCCCTCCAGGCCTAGCTGGCCAACACCCATCCCCCACTCTTGGTAGGCTAACTCCTGCCCATTCAAGCCCAGACCCAGACCTACCACCTCCAGGTCTGCCCTGAACCACTCTGCTTCAACGCCCTCCTCTATCCTTTGAATGCCCTCCTAGAGAACCTGGAGCACAGTTATCAGTTACCAACCTGTGATCGACACACTCTCCCCCCACCTCCAGGCATACTGACCCCTGCCTTCTCCTCCCAGCCCGCCTGAAAAGGCCTACTCATCTCATACTCGCTCCCAGAATCCTCTTCTCTGGGAGGCCTTCCCCAAACTTCCCAGTTAGGTGCCTCCTCCCCTCTATTCCCCGGCACCACTCTTATAGCTCAGTAGTAGTTGTACTAGTAGAAATATTGATACAGCATTTAACACTTACAATGTGTCAAACACTGTTCTAAGCACTTCACGTGTATTAAATCACTTAATCTTCATACTGATCCTTTGAGATAGCTATCATTCTTATCTCTACTATGGTTGAGGAAACTGAGGCACAGAGAGGTTAAGTTACTTGCCAAAGATCACACAGTTGAGCCTCTTGGATTTTAAATATCTTTTAAAAAAAATAAATAAACCCTTGGGCTTCCCTGGTGGCGCAGTGGTTGAGAGCCCGCCTGCCGATGCAGGGGACACGGGTTCGTGCCCCAGTCCGGGAAGATCCCACATGCCGCGGAGCGGCTGGGCCCGTGAGCCATGGCCGCTGAGCCTGCGCATCCGGAGCCTGTGCTCCGCAAGGGGAGAGGCCACAGCAGTGAGAGGCCCGCGTACCACAAAAAAATAAATAATAAATTAAAAAAATAAATAAACCCTTTATTTATAACAGTCTTAGACTTACAGAAAAATTGTGAGGATAATACAGTTTCCATAAATTCCTCACCCAGTTTCCCCTATTATTAACATCTTACACTAGAATGTATACAGTACAGAAATTTGGGGTAATTCATCTTCTATCCTTACCACCCAGCACATTACTTGGTACCTATTAAGTAAATACTCAAGTAATGCTCGTGGAATAAGCAAATGAATTTGTGTTTAGCTTTTCTGATTCCCTCAAGAAGACCATCCATTCCTTGAAGGAAGGAACTATGTCTCCTACTTCTGTCTGTACCCACAGTGCTTGGTCCAGGACTAAACTCAGGGTGCAAAGCAGCAGCAGGGTGGTGGTGGGAGAATAACAGGGCCAGAGTTGACACTGCTGGGAAAGCGCACCCCGAGTAGTCTCCTCGGCTACTCACAAGAAGGCCTCCTTCCTGCGGGACTCCTTCAGTGGCTCGTCCTCTTCAGCATCGTGGCTGGAAGATGAGTGGGGCTCCGCCCTGGGGGAGGAGAGTGAAGAAGTCTGGGGGGCGCTCAGGGAGGAGAGTGGGGCTGAGAAGAGCAAAGCGGGCGCCTCACCTCCTGTAGGTGTCGGAGGCGGCAGCGTAATGGAGCGGAGAGCAACCTTTACAGTCAGCCTCATTGACGCCTGCCCCGGCGGTCACCAGTGTGACGGCGCACTGGTAGCTGCCATTGGCGGCTGCATAGTGCAGTGGGGTCCTGGGGAGAAGTGAAGGAGGGTGGGTAAAAGAATCGGGGGCAGATCCAAATGCAACCAGATGTGCAGCCCAAAGCTGCTTCGTAATATTCTCCTCACTTAGTCTCCAACTCCCCACCCTGCCCTCCATCACTTGTCTCTCTGATCGGATGTTCCTTATGTATATATACTCCTGCACATTAACACACCTTCCAAATTTGTCTCTCCTCCTCAAGTCAGCTCCACTGCTCAACAGCAAATTAAGACATTCAACATTCCTAAAAGGAAGGAGGATGCAGGTTAAGGGGAGAAAGAGGGCTCAAGGAGAAGCCACAGGATTCTCCCCAGGGAGGGGCTGAAGGAGGATGGAACTGGACAGCCCTTTCTGCTGCCACTGCTCTCACTGTGAGGGGGGGAGCTCTGGGCAGGAAAGAAGAAGGGGCCCAGACCCCTGCCCAGCCTCCTTCTCAAGGCCTGAGACAGAGGGAAGAAAACTCACCCTCCAGAAGCAGCAGCATGAAGACAGGTACGGCCAAGGTTGTCAGGTGTATTGATGTCAAACCCAGCTGAAAGAACGTGCTCATTGCTGAGTGAGGATACAATGCTGTACAGCTGACCTGAAGGGGCAGAACAGCCACAGATCCCATCTGAGGGCTCTGAGCAGAGCCGGGAAGGGCCTCTGCTCTCCTGCCCACCTGCCCAACCCCCGAACCAGTTAGCTCATACCTGAGGAAAGAAGCTTACGACAACAGTCAGAGAATCCAAAGAGAACAGCTAAGTGCAAGGGGAACATGTCGTGGATGCCACGCCTGGGGAGAAGGGGAGGGACTCAGTCCTTGGGTCAAGGAGGGACCAGATGCAGACCTCTTTTCTGTGGCCTCCCACCAGCCTAGATCTGAGGCAGCCTGGAAGTGGGGTCAGTGGTCCGGACTCACCGGGCGGTATCCGCGCCGTTGGTCATGAGGGTGCTGATGAGCAGCTCGTGTCCATAGCGAGCGGCCACGTGCAGTGGCGTGTTCCCAAATTTGTCGGCACAATCAATCTCACTGCCTGAAAGGGGGGACGCACGCCCACACACTCAGACCTTTGGCTTCAGACCACTCACACTAGTTAGCTACTGTCTGAGTGCTTGTTACGTGCCAGGGGCCAGGCTAAGCCTTCTACACGTGTTATCTCGTTTGTCAGCCTGAGGGGGCTAGGCAGGCAGAGCAGGGCCATTTCCACAGGTGTCTTGCTCAGAGCTTCAGGTGCCCATCCTGACTGGAAGATGGGGTGGGGGGTGGAATGAGGAAGAAAAGGTGTTTCTAGGGTTGAGTTCTCTGAGGGGGGAAAAGAGATCACAAAGTCTTCCAGGTCCATACCATTCTGGATGAGGATCTGGGAGCGGGTGAAACGGCCATGGATGGCTGCCATGTGCAGAGGACTTTTCCCTTCTTTGCTCTGTGGAAACATGGCATTTTTTTTTTTCCTAGTGCAAAGCATGGAGAGTGCCCTGTTCCCCCTTCCAAAGGACACGTCTCTGAGGACGGGGTGATCATATGGACATCTTCTCAGCCCACATTTTCCTGGGCCCCTGGGAAGGACTGATCAACCCAGGACGCAAGCGGACCATTCCCCATAGAGTTATCCAGAACAAAAGATATGGTCAGCACCCCCAGAGCCAGGCCCCTCTCCCCACTGGTCTCAGACTCATCCCTTCAGGCACCTGGTAGTTGACATCAGCCCCGTTATTGACCAACAGCTCCAAGCAGAGCGCGCCATTGGTGGAGACCGCAGCCACATGCAGTGGTGTAAAGCCCTTGTCATTTGGCTGGTTGACATTGGCTCCTGCGTTCACCAGCTCGATAGCCACAGCATCCTGGCCCAGGTAGCAGGCGATGTGCAAAGCTGTGTTTCCAAAAGCGTTGGGCTCATCAATCTGGATTTCCAGGGGTGAGGGTAAGGGGATAAGGGAGATATCAGTTTAAACAAAGTGGAAGCCAGCACAGATAGCCTAGAGAATCCCAGAAATCCAACGACTGCCTCAGACCCCTCAGGTTCCAGACCCTAAGACTGGGGGCACTACTGCTTAAGACAAGCATTGCTCAGATCCTCTCACCACATCTTCCCGACCTCCCCAAACCACACCAGCAATCCCAGTGCCTTCCTATCTCCCTAACAGACTCCGACCTCCAGCTCCCTGCCCTTACCCCCAGCCCCACCCCGTGCTCAGCACCCTGACCTCAGCCCCCATCCGTAGCAAGTACTTCACCACTTCAATCTGGCCACTGGCAGCAGCTGTATGGAGCAGCCCATAGCCCTTGCGGTCCTTGCAGCCAAGGTCTGCTCCCCGTGCCACCAGCAGTTTCAGGACCTCCAAATGCCCTGAGAAAAGACAATACGCTCTCAAGGAGGTGGAAGGTGAACTCTAGGGCCCTGAGCACTCCGTCTCTGCCCTAGGAATCCCAAATCCTGCTCTCCCCGTGATTCTCTTCTCACCTAGAAAAGCCGCCCAGTGCAGAGGCTGCCGCTCCTTTTTGTCACAGACATTCAGGCTGGCTCCCTTACTGAGGAGCAGGTTCACCGTCTGTTTCAGGACATGAAAGACACCTGTTTAGAGCCAGGTTCATGCCTTCAACATACCTAATTAGGGGCAGAGCCCTTAGCACCTGAAAAGGCTGAGGCAGCCTAATGTCTCTGTTTTTGGGCAGAACAATCTGGAGAACTAGAGGGAACAGAGAAAGCAGGCACTAAGGAGATCCCAGGTAGATTTGGAAGTCTGAGATAAACTTAAGGGAGTCTCTTCAGGTAATTCGGTGGTTTTTAAACTCTTTTGAAGTCTTCTAAGTGTGCTGAAAGACACGGACTCTCGCTTCAGGAAAAACCACGTATGCAAACATTTTCCATGCAACTTCAGAGGCTTTACCACCCTCCTGAGGTCCAAGTCAAGAATTTCCATCCAACCCAACCATTTATTTGGTGCTTGAGCCCAAGTGTTTATATAATCATCTGGGCTGCTGCTCCCCAGGCCTAATGGCCCGGAGGCAGGGGAAGGTGAGCCGGAAGGGAAGGAAGAAGGCACGAGGCTGGGCGTGGACGGGAGCGGTCCTCACCTCCAGATGCCCACTATGCACTGCGTGGTGCAGGGCACTGCGCCCGCTCCTGTCAGCCACGTTGAGGCTGCTCAATAATGGTGCCAGAGCCTCAGCACACTTGGTGGCCCGGTTGGCAGCGGCCACATGCAATGGTGTCTGCCACAGCTTGTCCCGGGCGTTCACATCTGCTGAATGTGCCAGCAGCAATCCCAGCACCTTCTGTTGAGGAGCAGGCGATAGGAGAGAAGATAGAGGGGGAGCAGGAGGTGAACCAACAGGAAATGGAGGGGCGAACAGGTCAGCACAGCACATGTGACCCCATCTCCCCACTCCCCTGGCAGAGAGTCTCTCCTCATTTTTTCCAACATACCTAGCCTTTCAATACCTACTTTCCATCTTCTGGAACTTCTTAGAGCTTAAAATATTCCCTCCCTTGCTGAGGAAAACGTGGATCTCCTCCTCAAGCCACCTGATATTGTTCATAACCCAAACCCTGAACATCTTCACCCATATATACAGCCACTACCAAGCAAATCCACACATGTAGAGGATCCCAATCCCCTACCACTTTTAGGAAAGATAAATGTTCCCGCTACATTAATCCCCAGATACCCCCCTTCAGCCCTTCCATATGCATCAGAATCATTTCCATTACCTAGGTAAGCAAACAGATACTAGCTCCTCTCCAAAACCCAGGCTAAAATACCCCTCCTATTCACCACCCACCCCATTCCCATTGGCCTCAGTCCCTCCCCCTGGTGGCTGGAGCCAGGGAAGTGACTACCAAGCCAAGAAGAAGGTCATCTCTTCCCACTCTTCAGGGTTGAGGGACCCAACTGATGGGGCATGTTTGAGCCTCGTGGTGTCAACTTTCATGCTGCTTGAGGGGCAGGGATGCAACAAATCACCACCCCCATCCCTCCATCACAAGGAAAGAAATCTCAGTGCCCAGAGGGGGATCAGACTCCATGGTGGCCCCCCAGGGAGGGATGAGTCACTAAGGCCTGGCAGCAGGGCCCCCTGCAGTCTGCCAGCCCAGTGTTAAGCTCTCCCCTGACGTCACATCAGCTAGCAACACTCAGCCCCCCCTTACCAGCCAGTTCTAGGGGTAGGAGGGAGGGGCCAAGGTCTGGTCTCCTCTGGACCTGGGGATAGACCAACTTGTAGGGCAGAGGACTAAGGCTCTCCAACCCTTATCTTCCAACCTTTAACCAAGTCATCCTCTTTGGAAGGGAGAAAAGAGGTGGGAGGCCAGTACCTCATTTCGGGAGGCAGCAGCACGATGAAGAGGGGTCAGCCACAGTGTGTCCTTAGCATTGACGTTAGCACCTGTGGGGATATAATATGCTCTTTTGGTGGGAGGTGGAGAGCAGGTGGGGAAGAAAGCCAGTAATCAGGCCAGAGAATCTGGATGGAGACGGAAGCTTGCCTGGACCAAGCACCAGAGGACAATCCTTGGATACGACAAAAAGGCTCCTCCCTCAGGTCCCCTCCCTAGCTGCCACACCTTCTAGCTCCCTACTTTCACCTGACATCAGTAGCAACTGGAGGATGGGGACATCGCCTACGTAGGCAGCAGCATGAAGTGGGGTTCGCCTCTCTTGGTCCTAGGAAGGCAGAGAAGAGGAGCAGCTGTAGGGGTGAACGATCCAGGACCCAAGCCCAAGTCTTCGTGCTCCAGGCCTTTCCCCACAACCTCTTCCCACAGGTTCTGCAGCCTCCTAAACCCCAGTCCTAGGTCAAAGCAAGCACCGAGGGAGGGTGGAGTCAGGGGGTGGGCGCCACGGCCCGCGAAGCAGTCTCCTTCTGCCAGGAGGGGTGGAGGCGCTGCAGACACGGATGGTTCAGAAGAGAACACCGTTTCTGGGCATCCTCAGCCCTACTGGTCTCTGCTCTAAGCCTGACCTGCTCTCCATCCCCAAATGTAGAGCAGTTGCCCATCCCAGGGTGGAAAGAGCTGCGGCCTCACCCGAGCCGAGGAAACACGGAGCCGCCCCATTGGTGGGGAGGGGTCCTGCACACCAGGGCCCAGATTACCGGCTCGCCATCCTCCCTGATCTCAACTCACCAGCACATTGATGTTCTCCTTCTGCGAGAGGAGGGAACGCACTTCCTCCACATCTCGACTAAAGATGGCCTGGACCAGGGGCGGCTGCAGGGAGAACCGGTTTTCAGGGAGCGGGCCGGAGCGGAACCGGGGAGTGGGGTGGGGGACACCGGGTTTGGGCGGGGGGCGACGCTGGAGGGACTCTGCTCTGGGGTCCTGGCCGCAGGAGGCTTCCGCGGTGTCCCCGCCGGTCACCAGGCCCCCAAGGACACCGGCTTGGTTGAGGGGAGCGCGGCGTGGGGCGGGGCGGGAGCCCCGGGCTCGGGCCCAGCCTAGGCCGCACATCCCTGGGCTCGCGTGGCGGCGGCGTCGGGCCCTGGAAGGAGGAAGCGAGCAAGGGCAGGAGGGCTGACCTGGTCCGTGATGCTGAGGATCCCCATGGCCCGGCCCGGGCTCCGTCCGCATCGAGCTCCCGGCGGCGGCGGCGGCAGCGGCTCCACCGGGGACACGGGGCGGCCCAGGCGGCGGCTGCGGCGGCGGCTGCGGGGAGAGCGCAGCCCCGCCTACCAGGGGGCGGGAGCGGGAGTCCGCAGCGCTCCCTGGCGGCCCTTCTGGGCCCGGCCGCAGGGCGCTTGCCGCGCAGGCTGCCCCAGGCCGCGGCGCCCTCCGCCCCGCCCTGGCGGTCCCATAGGCTCGGGTGACCCCAACCTCGGCCGCTGGTTACCCGGCTCCCCAGGCCAGCGGCGCCGTGCTCTCCGCTCCAGTCTGGCGACCCGGGGGATTCTCCACAAAACCCTAGCGGCAACTCAGGCCGCGGCCCTGCTGCGGTGCCTTGCAACCTGAGGACCAAATGGCTGGCCCGATCTCACCCAGCCCAAAATGCCTCCTCCGAGCTAACGCCTCCCGTCCACGATTACACACCTCAGAATCCCCAAAGACTTGGGGAAGCAGGGCGTGGAGATCTGGGGGTTATATATGGCAATAGCCCCAGGGGAGGGAAGGCGCGTATCTCCACTGGCAGTGACAAGAGTTGGGTAGAAAGGAAAGAGCAAAAGTGCCAAGCTGCGGAGAAAAAAAACAAAACAAAAAAACAAGGACTCTTAGCTGCAGAAAAACCCCACAGAGAGGACAGGCTAGCTGGCAGTTGAAGGAGGGCTCCAAGGCCAACAGAAGCGGGCTTTTCGATTCCCTAATTACTGCACTGCCAGGTTAAGGTGGTAGGGTGGCTACACTTCAAAAGGCTCAATCGGGTTTCTCCCCCGAAAATGGTCGGGGTGCTTCCCCTCCTCCATTGGAGAGGCCAGAGAGCGGCCAGTCAGGTAAGATCTGGATGGAGTTCATCCCATCCCGAAAAGGGAAAAAGAGAGAAGAAAAGTGGATATTGAAAAATTGGTACAGTTTATACAGGGTGATTCAGGGTCCTGTTCAGAGCTCAGCAACTCAATATATGCGTTCTAAGAAAGGAACACATTTAGGAAAGAGCATAGCAGGATGGCCCCCTGTCAAGGCAGAGGTATAAAAGCCCCCTTCTTTGCTCTCAACAATCTATGCCCCTCATTACCTTCAGGATCTTGATCCCTGGAAAGATACACAAGACAAGTGTCAGTGGTTTTTCCTGGAGAGAGAAACTGGGGAACTGGGAATAAGGAATGAGAGGAAAAATTACCTATCACTATAAACCTGTAAATTTTTTGAATTTTTACCATTTTGAAAATAAAATTCACAGTTTTACTGAAAACTTACCTCTTCCAGGAAGTCTTCCCTGGTTAACAGTTCTTTCCCTTTTGTTAGGTCTCCTTATCACTTCCATACTTAGTTTACACTATCACAGTCAGGTTGCTCTTTTTGGGTTTTGTTTTTTAACTTTTTTTAAATTGAGATATAGTTGATGTACAACATTATATGTTACAGATGTACAACAGTGATTCACATTTTTAAAGGTTATACTTCATTTATAGTTACTATAAAATACTGGCTATATTCTCTGTGTTGTAGTCACAATCAGGTTTAAATTGCTCATCTTTGTTGTTCATTTCATCTTACATCTTTGACATACAGGAGTCCAGTGTTCCAGAAGGGATTTTAAACTCCTTGTTAGCCAGAGTCCTCCAACACAGGACTGTATATTGGTTTTTTGATTTTTGTGTTTTTTATAAATTTATTTATTTATTTTTGGCTGCATTGGGTCTTCATTGCTGAGTGTGGGCTTTTCTCCAGTTGTGGAGAGCGGGGTCTACTCTTCGTTGCGGTGCGCAGGCTTCTCATCTTGGTGGCTTCTCTTGTTGCGGAGCACGGGCTCTAGGTGTGCAGGCTTCAGTAGTTGTGGCTCGCAGGCTCTAGAGTGCAGGCTCAGTAGTTGTGGCCCACGGGCTTAGTTGCTCCGCGGCATGTAGGATCTTCCAGTACCAGGGCTCGAACCTGTCCGTGTCCCCTGCATTGGCAGGCAGATTCTTAACCACTGCAACACCAGGGAAGCCCCCTATTGGTTTTGTTTTCTATGGGAAAAAAAAAGGATGCTCAAGCAGAGCAGCACATGGGAACAGACCCAATATTCGATGATGATGATGAAGATGAGGCTGAAGAAGTAGAAACTGAAGGTAGCTGGGGATCTGATGGATATGGGTGTTGGGATATGCTGACTTGGCTAGTGGGTATGATGGACCTTCCAGGAAGGGCTAAGCTAGTATATGGTCCAGAGGATGGGGAAAAGGGGACTACATGGCCTCCAATGCCCAAAATAGCTTTTGGTAACCTGCGGAATTGGAGTCAGGGGTTGAGCTGGGGTCACGTGCCTGATTCTGGCTCCTGAGTGGAGGTGAACAAGGAAGTTTGCCAGCCGGGTTCTCTGGGCAGCTGGAAGGAGGAAGAAGGGCTAGAAGAGTTATTTTTAATATTATTCAGAGCACAGAAAGAGGATTTCCCAGGAGGGAAAAAAGGAATATGATATAGGTAACACAGTTACTTCCAGGGCTCAGGGAGATGCACAGTGTGGGGGAGGAGGAGGCCGGAAGTGGTGGCAAAGCCCTCTTATGCAAATAGTCCTTCTGTATTCCACTACTGAATTAATATTTGGATAACTCTAGGCAGATGCCTGCCTGTCTTTAAGCCTCAGTTTTCATTCTTCTAACAAATGTCTACTGAGAATTCACCATTGTATTCAGCCCTATACTAACTGGTTTGGAGGTAGAAACTTAGAAGTAATGGTGTCGGGAATTCCCTGGTGGTCCAGTGGTTGGGACTCTGTGCTTTCACTGCCAAGGGCGGGAACTAAGAGCCCACAAGCCACGAGGTGCAGCCAAAAACAGAAAAAGAAAAAATATATATATATACATACATATATAATGGTAGGTTAAGAAAAAGTAATAGGGGCTTCCCTGGTGGTGCAGTGGTTGAGAGTCCGCCTGCCGATGCAGGGGACACGGGTTCGTGCCCCGGTCCGGGAAGATCCCACATGCCGCAGAGCGGCTGGGCCCGTGAGCCATGGCCGCTGAGCCTGCGCATCCGGAGTCTGTGCTCCGCAACGGGAGAGGCCACAACAGTCAGAGGCCCGCGTACCGCAAAAAAAAAAAAGTAATAGTGTCTATTTTTGTGGAGTTTCTAACCTAGAAGAACATACACATGCACATGAAACAACTAGAGAATATAGGATTCATGCTACTTTATGTGGCATTATGTGTTCAGAATAATGTCTAGAGATGGGTTCAGTCAAGAGGGTCTTCCTGGAGGAGGTGTGTTTTTGAGTCAGTACTTGAAGGAAGTTATCGATGTAGAATGATATGGAAATGACAGGAAATTGGTTGTTTCAAGTACAGGGAATGAACTAGGAAAAGCTTAAATGGCAATAATTACCTAATCTAATTAGTAGGGGGGGACAACAAGCAAACTGGCTTGGCAGGCCTATTGTACCTTGGAGATTCTGCAGCAGTTAACTCGGTTAAGGCATAGTGTTAATGAGGTCACAGTTTAGTTATGTATCCCAGTTAATTTCTGTCTTTTATCCGGTCAGATCCTTACTCCTCACTCTAAGCAGCTGTCTCACATATGTAAGCACTTGGTCAGAGAGGCTGGACAAGAGAGTGGGGTTGGAAAGAGTAAATCTGTCCCTCAAGATCATATGCCCTTCTGAGAGTGGCTCCCAATTATCATCTTCGAACTGGAAGGAGATACTGTATCTTGTTGGGGGGAGGGTTCTGAGGGAAAAAGAAGAAATGTTAAAAGAGAAAAAGAAATGAGATCATTCCCCAATTTGGGACTTCATGTATAAATAATTTAACATAAGGATTGAAATGCCTTCCTTACAAAATGTCAAATGTAAACCAGAGTTCAAGGGAGGGTTTTGCTCCTTGAAATCCAGATAAAATGGGCTCACACTTTATTTATTAATTTGTTTATTTTGGCTGCGCCGGGTCTTAGCTGCAGCATGCAGACTTCTTAGTTGCAACATGTGGACCCTTAGCAGCAGCATGCACGTGGGACCTAGTTCCCCGACCAGGGATTGAACCCGGGCCCCCTGCATTAGAAGCACAGCTGAGTCTTACCCACTGGACCACCAGGGAAGTCCCAAAATGGGCTCAAGCTTTAAAAATCAATCCATATCCAGTGGAATTCTGCAAATGAATGCCAGTCTCAAGGAGTGGGAAGAGTTGGAAGGTTTACATCTGTTTTCAGGCCCCTGCTTCTGGACAAGATCTCTCTCTTCCCTACCAATTAGACCCTAAAGGCAACAGTCTAATTATTTCATCCTCCCACCCTAACCCCCACAACACTACTCAGATAAAACTTTCCTGAATGTGGAGAGCATGACTGAAGACTTATGCTCTAAAGACTAAAGCAGAGGAGGGGCTTGCACTGTAATAACAAAAACATCTTTAAATGCAACAGCAGACACCACCATTCTTAAAATGTCCTTCCTTTACTCCACTGTGGCAGAATTTCAAGAGCTCTTGTACCCACCTAGATCCAGTCTCTGATTGCTGATTTCTCTCTCTTCTCTCTCTCTCTTCTGTTCTCCCCACTTTTATCAAGGGCCCTTTTTTTCTCCTTGTATCATGATTGAAAGCAGTGTAGTGACATTTCCTTGCCTGGGTTCAGGTTCCTGCCCATGAGGTCTCACCTCTATCAAGTGCACACTTTTCCAGGCAAAGACGGTTCTCTACCATAAAAGTAAGTCTGGTTCTTCTCACCCCGACTTCTTTCTATAAATAGTAAAAGAGAAAACTATGCAAAGTCTTAGCCCAGATCTTGGAACATTAATTTCCTTTCTCAAAGATGCAAAGCACAGCACTAGGTACTATGTGCTACAAAGATGAATGGAACTTCTAACTATAAACAAGGCAGAATATAGTAAAGTCTCTAAGACAGACGTTCAGAAGACCAACGGCATATGCTGTTGACATGACCAAGAAGTCGCTTCTGTGCTTATGTACCAGGTCCGTGACCACAGACTCGGCAAGTAGCTTGCCTGGTGAGCTCGCTCCACGGAGCCATCTCTGCAGCTTCTCAAACACCCCCTCCAGCGCCCTTTCTCGCCAGAGGGGTGAAACTACATCTCCCGACAGGCCGCGTGGTCCCCTTCCTTCCCCCCTCTCCAGGTTCCGAGCCATGGCAACGGCGTGACGTGGGGTTACTGGGAGCTGCGGGAGCAGCGGTAGCGGCTTCAGTTCTAGGCTACCCGGCCGCCCGGGCAGGAACAGAGGGAGAGGAGCTACCGCCCAACGCCGCCCCTGCGCTCGGGGGCCCTGAACCCGCCCGGCTGCCGCTAACCTCCGCTCTTCCTCTGGACTGAGGAGTGCGCAGCTGGTATCAGAGCCGAGAGGGCAAGGGAGGGCAGCGCGCATGGCCTCGGCAGGCGCGCGGCGACTCCCGGCCGGGACGCGCGCGGCGGCCAGGGGC